TGTGTGGAAATAGTGAAGAATGATGATGGTGTCATTCCCTGTCAAAATAAATACCCGTTCCAGGTGAGCTCCCGTGCTTCTGCAGTAATGCGATGCTGGGCTGTGCGTCCTGTCGCTATCTGACATCGGTCAGTGCTTTGGTGGCTGACTTGTAGGTTCATTTGCCACTTTAATAGTTACTGTCTTTCTTCATAAATGGCTTAAGTCTTTGTTGAAACTTCTTATTCTTGTGTGGGGCTGTTAGATTCGACCAACGGTGCTGAGTTTCTAAACCCCAGATCTTAGTTACTTACTCAGATTTATCACAGAGCAGTTAGAATAAGGGGTGAGAGCTGAGACTGAAAGAAGTGGGGTGAAGCTTTCCTTGTGAATCTGAAAAACTGTGAAGTGGCAGGCGTAAGTTACTTTCAAACAGAAATGAAATGAAAAGGCTGCCTGGGATGAAAAACACAGTATTAGTGTTATGTATTGATTAAACTGTGCTTTTTAAAGGGTGATCATGTTATTTTTTTTGTCACAATGATCCTATTGCATAAGGGCGGTAAATATCACACTATTCTCACTTATGGCTGAGGAAATTGAGGCTCACAGATGTTGAGTGGCTTATCCAAGGTAACTTTGTGAGTTAAAAGCCTGTTGAGGCCGAGCGTGGTGGCTCATGCCTGTAATCCTAGCACTCTGGGAGGCCCAGGTGGGAGGATCACTCGAGGTCAGGAGTTCGAGACCAGCCTGAGCAAAAGCGACATCCCCGTCTCTACTAAACATAAAAAAATAGAAAGAAATTAACTGGACAACTAAAAATATATATAGAAAAAATTAGCCGGGCATGGTGGTGCATGCCTGTAATCTCAGCTACTTGGGACGCTGAGGCAGGAGGATCGCTTGAGCCCAGGAGTTTGAGGTTGCTGTGAGCTAGGATGACTCCACAGCACTCTAGCCTGGGCAACAAAGTGAGACTCTGTCTCATTAAAAAAAAAAGCCTGTCGAGTAGCGCACTCATATCTCTTCGCTCCCGAGGAGGAGGGGGACGGTACCCTGAGCCACTCTGCACCCATGGGACGTCCCAGGATCTTGGGGCACACATGCCTTGAGAACTCAGGAGAGTGGACTTGGACCCCGATATTGTAGAGCTTGCAGCAGGCAGCACAGGGCCCGTCACCAGCACCTAACCACTCCCTTCGCTTTCGAGGATGTTTTTCTGCTTTCCTTTGGGCGAATATCCCAAATGAAAGTCACCTTTTACCCAAGATTGTGGTCTCATTGTGTTCTGAGGGAAAAGTTGGAAAAGTCTTTTTCAACATGGTATCACAGTGGAGTTTTTGCTTGTTTCTAATCGCTACTGTGAAATGATCGATTACATTTGCAATAAGCATTCACCAATTCGGGGCATTAAGATGTTTGGGATCCAGTGAGCTAAAATATCTAAGCTTCTGGATTATTCTTCACGATGGTGGCAACCACACAAAAGGAGGAACGAGTATATTTAATTTTCTTTTCCCCGTTCCTCATTTTATATCTGCCATTTCTCTGCGTGAAGAGCAAGGAGAGTAAAGTGCTTAAAGAGGCGACTTTGAGGCCAAATCGCCGCTTTCTGGCTTTGTGAGCTTGTGTAAGTCATTTAACGTCTCTGTACCTGTTTCCTGTGGTGGAAAATGGGAATAATAACTGTAGCAGAACAGTATTCATAGAGTTGTGCGGATTGAGCGAGGTGATATGTAAGTAGCTTAGATGTATAGTAAGAGCCAGATAAGTGTTAGTTGCTATCATTACTATTATTACTTCTCTTACTACTACTGCTGCTATTAATACTACACCTGCCACCAAGATCTAGAAATAAGCCAAATTTAAATTTACTTCTTAATTATGAATGTTTAATGCCTATATTTTGGGGGCGGGGTGTTTGTTTCTTTTGAGGTTTAGCAGAGCATCATTGCTACCCACTTCCGATGGCTGTTAGACGTTTTGAGGGGTGGCAGGCAGGTGTGGGGAGCTATGGCTCTCATGATTCTGGACCCAGAATTAAGATTTTTGCTGTCCAAGAGAAAGAGATTCGCTCTGCAAGCCTTGGGTTGGTTTTAAGAATGATGATAAAAGTAGAACAGAAAGCATTCCATCCTTGAACCATTGAAAATGGTTGAGATGAATAAATATAAGAAAAGTTCAAAAACAACCTTAAAAATTAATCAAGAAGGGCTAAACTTGAGCTCTAACTATGTCATTGAAACCAGCAGGATTTGGAAGGTGAAAAATACCCTCTCTTGTTATAACTTAAGTATCACTAAGAAAGTGCAGGTCCTGGCTTTACATCTTTACTGTGACTTTTTGCATCAGGTTCAGATGCAAGGTGGAAAAACAATAAAGTAGAAGTTTTCGAAAGTCACGGAGAGAGAAGAGGAGGCTGCTTTCTGTCTCAGCATGTTCCAGCCCTGGGAAGGGCTGGAGACTGTAGGGAGGAGCCGGTACCAGCTGCCTGGCAGGGCGCTCCCTTCACGCTTCCTTAGCTGAGTCATTGCTGATGGCGGCTGGGCTTCCCCAGGCGGTAGCGCGTCTTTCCCGGATCCGTCTATCTAGTATCTGTGCCGTTTCTCCTACACACACTGTCATGAGAAGTCTGCTGAATAAACGAATGAGTAAATGAAGGTAGAAAGAGGAGGGAGGGTAACTACTGAGTTGGCGGTGTTACTAAGGGAGAGTAATTCTTCCTTGTTGAAAAGTGGCTTCTGCACTCCAAAGTTTGCAGAGCTCTGCCCCCACCAGCAGCCTCTGCTGTGGCAGGATGACTCACCAGAAGAAACAAGGCACACGAGAAATGTGGCCCCCAAGGTCCACCCTGCCACTACCAGCTATCCCCATGGATGATATAGAAGGAGGACGATGTGATCCGAGGTTTGCCGAGGGAAGGATACCGGCCCGCAGATATCTCTTCGGCCTTCCACGCTACCTGAGATGCCAAAATTTGATGCTTATTGCTTGGGTTTAGGGTGGTATTTCTAGAAATTTTTTGTAGACATACAAATGCCCCAAGTTAGTTAGGTAATCTATCAAGCTGGTTTTAGTTATCAAAATTCTGAATTTGGATTAGGTTTTTTTTTTTTGATTAGCTAGTCTTTAACAAATTTTAACAAAGTTACAGGTTCAGGGCACTGACATGAGATGAGTTTTGATGGCTCAGTTTCATCTGAGCTGTTTAAACTGCTCAGAACCTGGCAGGGCAGATTCTAGGAGGGGAACAGTCAGGGGGTGTTTCAAAGAAAATAAGTGAATAAGAAAAGCCTTTGGGGTCAGACAGATCCTACTCACATGACGTAAGCTCACCCACTTTGGTATTCTCATCTGAAAAATGAGGATTCTAGCACTAATAAAGACCTGGGCTACTGTACCAGTTAAAGCAGGCAGTATATGTAAAGTGCTTAGACTGATGTAAGGACTCAGTAAAGTAGATTTTATTATAATAAATTATTGTCGTAATATACCACAGGTTTCTAGAAAGTGCAAAGCCCTAGCAACCTTTCCAGACATCTCAGTGTCAATTCAGAATGACCGTTTCCTGGTGCGTTCTAAGCTAATTCTTCGGTGCAGAGTTGGTTGTGTGCACAAAGCCACGTGAGGAGTGAAAATCGTGGAGCGAATGAGGAAGCACATCTCCCCCCATCTCCCGTAGCCCTTTTCCTTCTCTCTCTGATGACACGTCTCATGTTCTGTCTTGTAATAGGTATCTCTGTAAATGGCTCGGAAATAGGCTTTATGTTTGATTCATTTTTGTGTTTTACGTAGTCCCAGCAAAGTGCTGAATGGTATATAGCATCATTTGTTCTCTGGTGTTCATGTTGCTGTTCGAGTGCATTTATTTGATTAAAAGAAGTAGGAAGGAATTATCTATTGACTATGGTTAGGAATAGCCACTTATCAATGAAAGAGCTATTTGTTTTTCAATCCAGTGGTGTTGATGTGGTAAAGGGAGGTTTCTAGCCATGTATTACTTTTTAGCCAGCCAAGGTGTTTCTGCCTTGAGATTAAGGAAGGGTAAAGTGACAGGTCAGTGACAAAATTTCTGTGTTTATTTCCCAGGCTTATTTTATTACTAATATTAAAAATAAGTCTATTTAATCGTCCACCAGGGGCTACTGCTAACTGTGGTTAAAAACCTGGGCTCTAAAGTCAGCACCCCAGCTTTCTGGGTTACCACCTGAATGATACAGGCAGGGTAGGTGACATAAATTATGGGACATCATTTGAAGTGTGTGTCACAAGAATGATGCCTCTTGAATTTACACAGGAGTGGAGAGCCTGGGATAGCCTTAGTTTCCTCATCTATAAAATAGAAAAACTAATACCTGGATGGTAGGATGAATTGAGTTGATGTCTATAAAGCACGTAGTACAGAGCTGGGATAGGCAGTGCTTAATAAAGTCAGCTACTGCAGTTATCGATGGTGGCAACAGGAAGCTATAGGAGTGATACTGCAAGAGCAGTCCCTTCATCTGAAATATTGTTTAGAAAAATACTGGGTTAGGGCCGGGCGCGGTGGCTCACGCCTGTAATCCTAACACTCTGGGAGGCCGAGGCGGGCGGATCGTTCTGAGCTCAGGAGTTCGAGACCAGCCTGAGCAAGAGCGAGACCCCGTCTCTACCAAAAATAGAAAGAAATTAATTGGACAGCTAAAAATATATACAGAAAAAATTAGCCGGGCATGGTGGCGCATGCCTGTAGTCCCAGCTACTTGGGAGGCTGAGACAGCAGGATCGCTTGAGCCCAGGAGTTTGAGGTTGCTGTGAGCTAGGCTGAGGCCACGGCACTCGCCCCAGGCAAGAGAGTGAGACTCTGTCTCAAAAAAAAAGAAAAATACTGGGTTAGGACAATCCCTGTTACACCAAGTTCATCTAAGGAACGTTAGTTAGTTAGCTTGAAAGAAATACTGAGATTAACGAAGCATCGTGGCCTCTGTATATTTTTTTTTCTATAAAAGCACAGTCCTTTGCAAAATAGGTATCCCACTCAATGTAGAAATGAAGAAATGGATGTGCTTTTGTAAGAAAGGAATCTGGTTTCTTTGGATCTGAAGTAATTGACTGTTATTTAGTCATTCGAGAATCATTTATTGGTGCCTGATACCAAGGTCCCGTGCGAGACAGAAGTGCTGTGTCTAAGTGTCTCTCCCTGATTCCGTCTCTTGTTTTATTTCAGGTTGTACATGATGCTAATACACTGTATGTTTTCGCACCTAGCGCACAAAGCAGAGACCGGTGGGTGAAGAAGTTAAAAGAAGGTAAAACTTATTGATGACATATTTATTAATGATGACATTAATTGATGACATATTTATTAATCTGTACATGATTTTAGGAGATATGACATTGTTATCACTAAAACAGAAATACAGCTTATGTATCTATTGCATTTATAATCTCTTAATCTGCAATAGCTGTTTCTCCAGTTCTGTGACTGTTACTGTAAGTGATGCTAGCATTTCGAAGATACCTGCCCCTCTTAAAATCTGATTCTTTCTAGTGGGGTGTGAATATTAATGGTTTCTAAGAAAAACATGCTTTATATGTGTGATATATTTGAAAGTGATAAAGCGTGGGCTTTTATGATAACAGGATTTGGCATATTTCTAAGAAATTGCCTATATAGTCAACATTTGGTGTGGATGGATTGACATATTCATGACATGTTTAAATGGGCGATTTGTCCTGCGCAAATCCTCGTCGTTTCTCCTGCAGAACAAAATGGTGGTGGGTTGACTTTTGCATTTATCCATCGTGGTACAGCAGCAGTCATTTCTTCCAACAAGGGTGTTTCACACCCCCACCCCCAAAAGACAGAGATGAAAGAGAGCCATATGGCTTTTTCGAGTGCTGAGTCGTATGCTGTTATGAGGCTGTTCTCATAATAAACGTGGTATCTGAGGAATAAGTAATGATTGACAGTGTTCCTTAGGAAACATTCTGTAGTCTCTGTTTTCTTTCACTAATTATAAATTGTCTGTGTGTTGCAGAAATAAAGAACAACAATAATATTATGATTAAATATCATCCTAAATTCTGGACAGATGGAAGTTATCAGTGTTGCAGACAAACTGAAAAACTAGCACCTGGATGTGAAAAATATAATCTTTTTGAGAGTAGTAAGTGTTCGTTTTATTCTATATTTATACTGTGCTCAGAATGCACATATTATTGGTATGGCAAGAAAGTGACATGATTTTGATTTTGATTAAGTACAGCATGCTTTCTGGTTCAGTGTAAATGCAGGGTAGGTGTGTTTTGTAAGAAAAATTATATAGTTAGCAGTGGGACTTTCTCGTGGAATCAGAGTGTCTATTTTAGGGAGCTTTTATCACAACATCGAAACCTGTTAAAAGTGAATCTGTTGAAAGTGTGGGCCTAACGTGGAACCGTCAGCAGCTTTGCTTCCCATTAATGTTGATGTATTCAACAAATAAAGTCTCCCCAGCTGTGGAGCTCAAAACCTGATGGAGCGGTGCAGTCACACTCTGAGTAGGATTCTTCTCATTCGGATGGGGCTTAGTGGTTTGGATTTTAGTAGTGGCTTCGCAGCCTTTCTGAGCAGTAAGATATCATAATGATACTCAGATGTAAATGTTCAGATGAATAAAAATGTCTAGGGTTTATTTTGACACCTAAGACCCTTCTAAAGCCTGGAAACGAAAGGCTCTTAGTCATAAGCTAAAAATACACAGAGATTCAAAGTTGCTGGTGCTGTAGGACAGCCAGAGTAATGACGGGGTACACTGTACTTCTCTTTTCCTGCCGGCACTATGCAGTATGGTCATCGGGTCAGAACTGATAGAAATTCTGAATACAAGTAGGGTGACCATTTGACAGGGATGCTGACTTACGCAGGAGGCCAGACCAGGTGACCTTCTTGGTCCACCCAGGCTTCAGTTCTGTGAGTCCTGCAGCCTAGTTCTCCTGGGATGTCCTGACGTTAATTTAGCACATTAAAGAGTAAGGCCCGAGTTTCCATAGCTGTTATTGTTTCCTATTTTTTCAGGTTCTTAAGGTTTGATATTAGTTAATGCATGGTCTAACCTGCTGTAAAAAGAGACTGAAAAGTTATGGTGACTTAAACTAGAGAGAAATTTATTTCAGTTTTATGTAGTAATCTGCAGGTGGTAGGTGTGTGGTCTGGGGTTGTTAGGGTAATTCTGCAGTGGTTGCTGGGTTTGTTCCAGTTCTAGTAGTCTCTCTCTTCCTGGCAGCAGAAAGGGGGAAAGGGATCAAGGATGCCCATGGGAAGTCCTTTTAAGGGTAAATCTAAAAATGGCACACCCATTTGTACACAGAGATCTTCGATTAGAATCTGGTCCTGTGGCCATGCCTAGCTGGGAAGTACGGTTTTTAGCTTGGGTGGCCATGTGCCAGCCAAAACTCTAGGACTATACACTGTAGAGGAAGGGACAGACTGCCAAAGAGTATACGTTTCTCAGTGTGGTCATTATTTCACTTTGTTTGATTCAACAAGTATTATTGAGTGCCCAGTTTACATGGTGGTGGGGATACAAAAAATAAGGCGTGGCCCCAATCTCTAGGGCATGGTCTGTTCAGGAAGGCAGGGACACAAACCAGCTAGAACAGCAGTTTTTAATTCTGGAATAGAGATGTAAGCAACGAGCACCAGAGTGGGTCGGAGTGGGCTTCTTATCTATGTATCGATTCTCAATTTTCCTTAAAACTACCTATATCTTATCTTGATTAATCATTGGTAGATAGCATTTTGACCTGTTTTTGTTGGTGGTGTTTTTAGGTATAAGAAAAGCACTACCTCCAGCACCAGAAATAAAGAAGGTAGGTGGTTTTTAACTTTTGATGGTTAAATCTTTGAGTTTTAGGCATTTAGGTCTTAAGTTTGGTAGTGTTTGGGGTTTAATAAGTGTGTTTGTATTTAGTCATGCAATGTGACTGACTTTGGGTGGGTTACTTAAGCCACTGTTACCTCAGTTATGAAATGGGAATTCTAAAGCTCTACATAATGGGAGCAGTATTAAGAATAAATGAGGGCCGGGCGTGGTGGCTCACGCCTGTAATCCTAGCTCTCAGGGAGGCCGAGGCGGGCGGATTGTTTGAGCTCAGGAGTTCGAAACCACCCTGAGCAAGAGCGAGACCCGTCTCTACTAAAAATAGAAAGAAATTAATTGGACAACTAAAAAAATACATAGAAAAAATTAGCCGGGCATGGTGGCGCTTGCCTGTAGTCCCAGCTACTCGGGAGGCTGAGGCAGAAGGATCGCTTGAGCCCAGGAGTTTGAGGTTGCTGTGAGCTAGGATGATACCACGGCACTCTAGTCTGGGCAACACAGTGAGACTCTGTCTCAAAAAAAAAGAATAAATGAGGAAAAGTGTGTTAGGTCCCACGCATGTGCCTTGCACATCATAGGCATCCGATGTGAGAATTCCGTTGAGTGGGAGGAGACCTGGTCAAAGACTCCATGGTATGTTCTTCTCCCATTGCGGGCTATTTGGATGGTGGGTCTACCTTCAGCCCTGGTTTCTGCTCACCCTTGTCTCTCCTTGGAAAACTATTCCCTGCACTGAGCAAAAACCTTGTAATGTTTAAAGACAGTTTTTGCTTATCTCCTCTATTCTGAAACCTATGAGGGGGGCCAGTAACATCCACGTTATCAAACTCGTGGGAGGGTTCACCAGATTATATTCGGAGGACTTGAGGTTTCTTCTTTACTCTGTGGTGACATGTGACTCATATAGTGTTTTGTTTCATGACCGGTTTCGAATAGAAGGTTAAACTTTCAAATGTTATCTTCTTTGCTTAGCGAAGACCTCCCCCACCAATTCCACCCGAGGAAGAAGATAATAGTGAAGAGATAGTTGTAGCAATGTATGATTTCCAGGCGACAGAAGCACATGATCTCAGATTAGAGAGAGGCCAAGAGTACATCATATTAGAGAAGAATGATGTTCACTGGTGGAGAGCAAGAGATAAATACGGGTAAGTGTCCCTCTGTGTACGACACGCAACGGGTGGGTGGGAGTTAAGTGTTGAGTGAGAGGAAGATGAGCTGTTCATATCATGTCATGAGACTAGTTCCACCGGCCATAAGTGGAAGCATGCTTATTACTTTGTAGTAACGCTGTGTATTCTTAGTGGTCACTAATAAATGCAAGTTGATCAATCACTTCTTTCCAAGAGTTGGAATACATTATACTGGTCTCTTACTCATCCATTGAATGTTTAATTTGATTATTTTGGCCTTGGGGAAAATTATATTTTATGTTTTGTCCCTACCCCCATGGTAAGTAAGTAATCTTAGATTTTTCAAAGAAATAATTTATCATGATTTTCTTATTAGAATCTTTCTATATATATACATATATATATAAAAAAGAATATATATGTATACATACACATACACAGTATAATGAAGTCTTCTTACTTGAATTCTGTCTTTTTTTCCTCTCTCTCTCCATGTATATTTGTGGAGGAGAGAGTATATTTTAATATACGTGTGTGTGTGTGTGTGTGTGTGTGTGTGTGTGAATGTATAAACTATATACATATATACCTGCAGGATATTAAACAGCAAGCATAATTTGCACAGATTATTTAAGATTTGAAGGAAACAATCCTTTCAACCCTATTATCAGTAAATATTTGAGTAGATATGGATAAACACAGGGGATGAGTATCTTGAATTTCATTAAGAAAACTCTATATCCTCCGCTTACCTCTGAAATGCAATCCCGTTTATACTCTGCGTTCCAATGGATAAGAAGAGGAGGACTTTTTGCCCTGCCAGAGCACACTCTCCTTCTGCCTGCTCTCTCGCCTCCTGGCTCCATTCCCAATTCCAATTCCCAATTCCTCGGTTCACTTCCGAAGCAGTGGAAAATTCTGGTTTAGGCAGAGTCCTTCCTTTCTGCTCAATTCTCAGTGATAGTACACGTCTGAGTGCTGGTTTGCTATGCATTATTACCTTCTTTGCAACTTTTAACCTTTTGTTCTATGTTTACAAGAAGGTCGTCACTGCTTCTCATTGCCAGACGCTGTTTAAGATTGAGTTTTGTTTTTTAATTTTTTATTATAGAAATTTTCAAACATCCAAAAAGTACATAATAGTGTAATGGAACCTCTTGTCATTGGACTTTGAAAATCACCAACATTTTGCCAGTCTTGATTTACCAATCCTCCAATTTTTTTTTTTCTAGGAGTGAAGGATATATTCCAAGTAACTACGTAACAGGAAAGAAATCAAACAACTTAGATCAATATGAGTAAGTCAATATTTATTTTGTGAATGTGGAAAAGCAGAAAATATTTTTATTTTCCTAATTATGTAAGGCATTTTGAAGATTAATGGATATATTTCATGATCTTTAGAAGGTGAAACCAACATTGTCTAGTGTGGTAAAAGACTATGAGAATTAGTCTCTATAATACATTCTTCCTGAAGGTACCTTTGTGTGAATGGAGTTACGTAAACTTATATAATCGAATTGATTTTAAGCAAATCACAGCTTAGCTGACTTTGAAATACAGATCGTTGCCCATTCATTCAAGATATAGCAGTAATATTTCCCAGAACAACCTTTAAAGAAACATATTTTATTGTTTCTTTTTTTAAACTAAAATAACAATATGTGATTATTGTTTTAAAATCCTTAAAAATATGAAAAAATCTTAATAAGAAAAAATTACTCATAAATCAGAAGTTGACCTGTATCAACATTAGTATATTTCCTTTCAATCTTTTTACTGTCTTAAAAAGATAGAATCATGCTGTATATACTGTTTTACATCCTGTTTTTTTTTCACCTAATAGTATATTATGAGTTTTGAGTATTTCCTCATGCTATTTAATATTCTTTAAAAACATTTTCATAGCTGTATTATATTTCATTCAGTCTTAAATTCATCAAATATTTACTGAGATCTTATAACATATCAGGCACTATGCTAGGGCGTAGGGGTACAACCAAGCATATGGCACGTGGATATACAATAATTTATATAATCATTTCCCTATTTGTGTGGCATTAGATTGTTTTAGGTATCTTTGCTATATAAACATAACTGGGATAACCCCTTGCTTCTTGTCTTAAACTAGATCTGTAAAATCTACGTACTAGGCTAAAATATATATGAGCATTGTTAAGAGTCTTGATGCATGCTGTCTAATTTCTTTCTAGAGAAGTACTACTTATACATCCACTAGCAGTGCACGGCCAAGTTTTAGTGCAAGGCTGATCTATTTCAAACGCTCTTTTGTACTCATTCTGAGGTGGTGTATTGATGTTTCATTCATTTCCTTAAAAATGACAAAAACAGCACCAACAAGCTGTTTCCTCTCTTCATGTCACTTACTATAACATGAGTGTACCTTAAAATCCAGAAAAGGGTTAATAGGTTCAACAGGTCACAGCACTCAGCGGTGTGATCCCTCAAAGTGATTTTAGAAGTGGATGGGAATATGAACAATATATAAATAGAGTAGCATTTATGCTCTTAAATAGGTTTTAGGAAAATACAGCAAAATTGTTAGAATTAGGGAAGGTGCTAAAAAGTGAAAAGTTGGATCTGCTTTTGAAGTCGTTGGACTGAGAACTGACTGATAATTTGGGGAGGAGAGTGCTTAGGAACCAGCGAATCCTTCTCTAAATGTGAGAACTCCTCTTAGGACTCATGGGATTTCAAATGAGGATTTTAGATACTGAAGTTTATGATTCATGGCCATAAGTCTTTTAGCTATATCATAATTTGGGAATTGTCTGTCTTCTGAGGGATCTTTCTCCTCTTCATGACTCTGAACTTGTGCGTGTGGGTCCGGCGTGGGAGCCCCTGCACGGTGTGTGCAGAGCCCGGACTCCACCTGCCGTTGTGCCGGCCGGTACATGACCGGGGAAACCTGCTCTCTGTGGGCAGGCAGAGAACCTATTCTCCTGTCTTCCTATTCCACGTTCTGTTCTGTTTTGTTTTTGCCACGGCCCATCCTGTAACACATCTTAAATGTTCCCAGCGTTAAAAAAACAACAAAAAAAAAGCCTTCTGCCAACTGTTGAATGAATAGTTCTTCTGCTGTTTGCTTGGGCCTAGGAAGAATCCCAGGCAACAGACTGTCCCCTGGCTGGCCTCAGGGTTGCTGAGCCAGGGGGGTCAGTGGTGTATTAATAGTTCTGACCTCCATGCGCAGTCGGCGGTGTGGGGAGGAGAGGATCAGAGAAACTGTTGCTGGAGAAGAAAGTGGGTTCGTTGTGATGGTCAGTGAGAGGGTGTTCTTTGTGGAATGATGTTAGAGGACGAAGGTGACAGAAACGAAAGGCCCTTGGAACAGGAAAAAGTCTAGGATAAAGGCTCTCAGTGGGTGGCACAGGAGGTGGGGGCAAAATTAGAAAACTAGCTAAGATCTGTATTGGGTTGGTTGGTTGGTTGTTTATATTTTTCCTTCATTTCTACCTGTTGTCTTCTTTTCATGACAAACCCTCAGTCGGACTCCCCAAGAAGCTTGGCCAAGATCTGACCTTTCCAGAAAGGACTAAGTGGCCCCCAAACCTCTTCTTTCCCTGTATTCAGATGCTGCTATGAAGTCTTATTCCTCTGGAATGTTCTTAGGTGACTGGCCAATCTGAAAAACTGAGAACAATTGGTATCTAAGAACAATTTGACAAGTTACCTGTCAATCCTGGGCGTTATTTCTAGATGTGTAGTTCTTTCGTCGAAGGTGTTAACCCCTAACAAAGCCTGTCTGTGGTCGGCTTTTGCGAGAGGTGTGTGGCGTGTCTGTGGCAGCGCTCCTCTGCTCACGTCCTGCAGGCCCTTCACGTCTTACCTGTGTCTAGGTCTTCCTGGTGAATTCAGGGAAGCTGCCTGGGGCTAGATAATCACAGGAGAGGAGAGAGAAGCTTCGAAGAATCGGATCGTTAGGAAGTACCCACTACTATTATAGTTAATTCATTTATTTATTTGTTCATCATTCCTCCCTCTTTTCCTTCCTACGACATACCCTTAAAGGTCGGAATTTATATCCCAAGAAAGGGAACATCCTTCCTGGGGAATCTGCAAATGCCATAAAAACAACTTCTTAGAACAGGATTTCAAAGGGCCTGCCTTTTGTGCAGTGGGTTCCTTCTCTTTCCACTATCCTTTCCCAGGAGAAGGAATATAGCAGGTGAGGAAGGGACCTCCTTCTTTCTCTGAGTATCTACGTCTGATGTCCTCTTGAGAGACACAATTTAGCTCCACTGATTTCTTCCATTTGAACCTGATACTAAACCTCCATTGCTTACTCTCAGTCTGAAGATGTGGGACTGGATCTTTTGTTATTCAGAGAATTTTTCTCAATCTCCCAAATCCTGTTAGCTTAGAATACATAATTAGAGCTCCAGTTAGCTTTCCTTAGTTAATTTTTATGACTGTTTTTGGCATATGACAAATGTTTCTTGTATCACTGGAAAAGCTTTAGGGACGGAATGCATTCTATTCTCCTAACTTATTATATTTCTCAATTGCATTCCGAAATGGATTGACCCCAACTGCAATTCTGTTGAACTTGGTCTCATTTTATAAAGTGGGGTCCACGGTAAGGGGATGTTGACAGGTCTGAGGCCTGGTTCCTCACCTTGGATTCCAAATAAAATATCTACCAGTCATTAGCTTGTACTGAGGTTGTCATTGGCATCTGGCGACAACATAAGAGAATCCAGACAGAGAAAGATCTTGTCTTTTGTTCTTTGTATTTTTCTCTTCCTCTGTCAGGGAAGTCTCTTGTGTTTACTTGTCCCCAGGTGGTTGCTGGGCCAAAAGCAGGAGCTGGTTCTTGTGGGAAAGGCTGAGCCAGTGGTGGCAAATTCAAATGCCCAGAGGAACAAAACTGATTTTATAACATTCAAAGTCTCAGGGCATATTCCTGTAGGGGAGGGTTCTTTGCTGACTAAAAAGCATCTAACAAAACAAGTTTAAAACTGAAGGCCAAAAATGATGGTCTGAGTTCATGTTCTTTTGCCTCATTTGCTTACGTTCACACAAAAGAGATTGGTTACGCTGGGGGAAGCAGAGAGAGAGGAGTGGCAGACGTTCGTACAGTGCAGCCTCCAGCAACCACGGGGCTTGGGGCTATGCTGGACCCCGCAAGTCTGGAAGACCCAGGAGGATTGCTCCTATGTTGGTCTGTTTCTTTGACACATGGCACTTTTGAGAAATTCAGTGGGGACACCTCCATAATGACTTGAGGTGAAATCTGCTGCCATGTTGATAGAGTAAGGGCTTGGAATAAATAATTTGTATTAAAGACAATAATGTAAAGTAACGTTTCCTGCATGTTTGAGTCAGTAGAGTAAAATTCATTCTTGCTGTGATTGTAGTAGTAAAAAATTGAAAATGTTTTTATGTTGAACGATGAATAGCTTAAATAAGTTATGATATGCGTATCATGGTATGCATACCATGATACATAGAGCTGTATTGATTTGCAAATATATCATATACTGTTATATGGAAAATTCAGGTTATGCTATAACAAGTGCAGTTTGATCCCACTTTAATACAACAATAAGAATATGGTTGTATATGTATGCTTTCATATAAATATGGGTAGAAAGTCTGTAAGCAACATCAAAATATTACTAGTTATCTATTATTGAGATTATGAGTGATATCTTATTCTTATTTATTATATTTATTATTGATTGGTGAGCAGTAATATCTTATTAATCCTAAAAAGAATAAAAATTGTTAAAAAACCTAAGGCCTTAAATGTGTTTTTTTCTGTTCAGATGGTATTGCAGAAATATGAATAGAAGCAAGGCAGAGCAGCTCCTGAGAAGCGAAGTAAGTGTTTGTCTTGTTTTGTGGATTTGGTTTCAGCACAAATTAATTTTAATGAATCCCTAATAAATAGTTTCACATACCTCTGTTTCTAAATCTGTCCCACAGTGAGCAGATACGTGCAAACCTACCCCCAAAGGCCAAGGGAGCTGAGAGGCCAAAGAATGAGGCTGAAAAATCCAATTTCTCAGAATAAAATTTATTTTTCAACTATTAAACACACTTTTCATCTTAAAGCAGTTTAAATACTAGAGATCGATGTTGGTGTTGTTGGGTAGCGAGGTGTTTGAGGTTTAGAGTATCTGTTTCTTGCTCTTCAGCTTGAACCTGTTACGGATTTAACCTTGAGTCTCTAGGCATTGTTTCCAACTTTTGATTTTCTCTGCTTAAGTTACTTGTGTCACCATCTCTCCCTTTGTGAAGAGAGATATTTAACATTGGCTTCCAGGGGAATTAAGAATTTTTAAATTCATTCTTATGAAGAGCACTGAGATATTTATAGGGAAAAATGCTATGTGCTTTGAAAATGATATTGAGTCAGGAATCAGAGCTTATAGCAAATATGAAAAATGGATGAAATGAAACCCAATCATTAAGAAATATATTCTTTAATAACTGTTTTCCTGCATGTCCAGGACTTAAAGGAATTGTAAAATCTTGTGTATTCCTTCTGGGAGGGACCGTGAGATTTTTCGGGTTGAAATGTCTCGTGTTAGTGTGTGAGGATTTGTGATTCTGGGGAACTGAGTGTGTTTTCTCTGACTAGTCTCATAGCATAGTAATTTGAAATAGAAAGTTGTGGATGGGAGAAACCAGGGAGCCCTACTGGTAAGTTGCTCTTCTCCAAAACAGATTTTTCGGGAAAGGATAATACCTTGTAAGACTGGGTTCTTGAATCTTCTCCATGGCATTGCTTTAGTAATTGGAGTAAAATACATTTTCTTAACTTGGATTTTAGGATAAAGAAGGTGGTTTTATGGTAAGGGACTCCAGCCAGCCAGGCTTGTACACAGTCTCCCTTTACACAAAGTTTGGAGGGTGAGTAATCTTGCTCTGTTGCTTTTTTAAAAAAAAATTTAGAGTTTTTGTATGAACTTCCTGTATGTTTGTATGGATTCCTAATTTTCAAAAATATATGCTGCATTTCAGCATCAAGAAAGAACACCTGAACTTGATTTCTAAAGTCTATACTATTTTTTTGTATTTATATTTTCAGTAATTTTCCCTGTAGTTTTCTCCATATATATACGTTGAGAATGGCTCTGGTAACTTTAGCGATGTTCAACAAATACTGTGCGCTGTGCTAATCACTAAACATGCCGGTGTGAACAACGTGGGCGCAGATTCTGCCCTCCGTTAGCTTGGTGGGGGCTACAGACAAGCAAACAGGCAGTGATGGGAGTGTATGCGTGTGTGTGTGTGTGTGTGTGTGTGTGTGTGTGTGTGGCGGGGCTTTGGGGGCAGTGCTGGAGGGATGACCCACAGCCCAGACTGATCTTGAGTTAGTCTTGAATGTCCCAAGTGACATCCAAGCTGAGGCCTGACAGGTGGGACAGAAAAAATTTGGAGGGAGGGGAAAGAGTGTGTCTGACCCAGCAAACTGCCTGGATCCAGAGGTGAGAGAGGATATGGGGAGTTCAAGGCACTGAGAAGTGTACGGTAGCTGGACTGTAGAATAGCAGGGGCGTAGAGAAGGGAGCAGAGGGAAACCTGAGAGGGAAAAGCAGAGGCAAGGTCATGTCAGTGTCAAGGAATCTGAGCTGTACCCTAAGAGCAGCAGGCGTCATCTTGAAAGTACTTTTAGCAGGAGATGACTAGAGGAGATCTGTGTTCTAGATATCTAAAGTTGAATGTATACATTTATACATTGAGTTTATTCACTTCTAGAGATGTAAGTGCTCTAGACGTTTGCAGGTTTATGCCAAGAGTGGGGACAAAATGCCGTAGCTACTAATCGCTATTTTAAGACTTTTAACTACTGTTAAATGATGTTAATAAATGTTCTTTTTCAAAATTTCAAGTGTGTTATCAGTTACCACTTTAAAAACTTCCACCTGTTCATGTGAAAGGTGAAGCTAAGAAGGACATAGGGGGAAAATGACATTTGTGCAGGGAGTAGATGGAGCCACATGGAGGGACCCTGTTCCCCCTAGAGAAAGTACCTTAAGAGTAAAGTTACATTATTTTAACTCGGTTCTAACACATTTTGATTTTTGCTTTAGAGAAGGTTCATCAGGTTTCAGGCATTATCATATAAAGGAAATGACAACATCTCCAAAGAAGTACTACCTGGCAGAAAAACACGCTTTTGGCTCAATTCCTGAGCTCATTGAGTATCATAAACACAATGCGGCGGGTAAGTGAGCTGCTAAAACCCATTGCGAGTGTAAGGTAGTAATTAAAACGATTGGACATTGTGATGAATTCCTCCTTGAGCAGCTTTATTTTATTGTTAATTGTAGCATGTGATTGATTTAAAATTATTGCATATTAAGGAAGTGATATTATACAAAGAAAAATCGAATAATAGCAAGTTTTATAAAAAGCTATGTCTTGACCTTAGGACGTGAATTATTCTAGTGGTATGTGATGAATGTTCACATTTCTGTGGCTTATGTACTTGGCAAGAGGAAAGTAAACTAAAACAGAAGATATGTCTATTTCAGAGTAGTCACAGAAGGTGCCAGATGAGCCAGGGTTGGTGCTGTGCTGTAGGCTTCCAAAGACTGGACTAATCATGTCCAACAAGTTTACCGTCTTCTTGAATCTCTGGTAGACTTACCAGCAGAGTGGGAACAAACCAAACACCAAAGAATAAAAACAGAAACCACATTCATGCCAATTAAAGTTCCAAAGGATTATATAGAAAGATTTCCAGCCTTCGACTTCACAGATGTAACTGGGCAGGGGATGGCTAAATGCCTAACCCAATTTAAGGAAAATCAACTTTTTGAAATTTTATCAAAGGCAATCTTTGCAAAGCCTGTTATTTTGTGACTGATTTTTTCAGATAATGTTAAGAACAGTTACTGAGATATAATTTACATACCACACAAAGTTTACCCATATTAAGTATACTATTCAGTGGTTTTCAGTGTATTTACGGAGTTGGGCCGACTGTCACCATAATCTGATTTTAAGAACATTGTCTTCATTCCAAGAAGAAATCTTGTACCCAGTAACTGTCACCCCCTGTCCCTCCTTACCAGCCCAGCCTCAGGCAACCATTAACTTACTTTCTGTCTCTACAGATTTGCCTGTACTGGACATTTCATATAATGGAATCATAGAATATGTGGTCTGTCATGACTAGCTTCTTTGACTTAGTGTTTTTGTTTTTGACATTTGTCCATGTTGTAGCACATATAAGTATTCCATTTCCCTTTTATTTTAACCTACATCTCAAGTTTACTGAAGTAATCAGATAATATAAACAAAATGCACAGGGCTTGACATAGTAATTACACAGTAGGTTCTACTTATTGCTGGGTCATCACCTAGAGCCTAGCACAATATTTGTGGAATGGTTACATTCTCGGGCCAGCATATGAGTCTGTATTTACTCTTAAGTAAAATAACAGTTCCAACTTCAGTATAATCATGCTAAATGGTGAGATAGGAGATCAACCCCTCTATTTCCAAATGTAGGGAATTATCTTAATATCTACGTATTGTGTTAGAAAGTCATGCTTCATCTACTTATGGAAACCTAGGCATAGCCTGGGTATATGCAAACTATAGACATAATGATGTTAAGGAATATAATTGCTGAAGTTATCACTAGAGATTCTAGACAGTGTAAATCCCCAGTAATAGTTTTTGCTGTGAAGGACTTTCTGAACACATTAGTAGTAATTGGTTTGTGCACTCTGCTTAAGGCTAATATGTCCCAGGAAAGAAGTCTTGGGAAGATGGAATTTCTAAGTTCAGGAAGTTTTCTGGATTAAGATAGTCATTCCTTTTTATTGATGAATAATAATCTGTTGTATAGATTTTGTTTATCCATTTTGTTTATGGTTTATCAGTTGATGGACATTTGGGTTGTTTCCACATTTAGGCGCTTATAATAATGAGGCCTTGAACAGTTGTGTACAAAGTTTTGCATGGAAATGTGTTTTCATTTCTCTTGGGTATTTACCTAGTTGTGGGTATGCTGGGTCATATGGTGACTCTGTGTTTAACCTTTGAGGAACTGATTTCATATCAGTTTATTCCCAAAGAACTTTTTCACATCTCCTATTTTGTTATTTT